GTTTCCTTAATTAAAATTCCTTAATTGTTTCAGGCTGGACAAAGGATGCTAGAGCTGTGTATTTTCTTTCTAGACAGATAAATAAACATGCCTGGCATTGAATTCCCTTCCCTTAGGTTGGTTAAGCTATAGTAAGCTATGGTTAGACTTTAGTATATTTACTGTTTCAAGACAGGGTCTCAGGGTCTCTTTATCTATCCCTAGCTGACATCCATTTTCTTGAGAGCAGGCTTCACTAAGGGCAGAAGACAGTGCTGTATTTCATAATGATTATTCTCTCTCCTCCTGCTTGGTTCTAGAAGTTAAGTTTAACAAAACTGTGGGCCACAGTTTCAAGCCTGGGCCTGGCCAGTCTTTAACTTGTCTACAATTAACCATCACAATCTAGGCTTCATTACCCTGTTGCTGGTTCCCTGCTGTTTTAAATTGGATTTCTGTGCAGCTTTTAGCCCAACTATTGTATGATAATAAGGGTTTCTTGCTTCTTATAGTTGCATGTTTTATTTTGGATTTCTTTATATGAGGTCAGAGATTCCTGAACTGTAGTGAATTTTTAGTGAATTTGATATTTGCTGGCTTCAGATATACTTCTAATTATGTAAAGCAAACACTACTATAACCAGCCTTTATACAAGCAGAGAATAATTGAGTATTTGTTATATGAAATATTTAAAATATATCTCTTCTATCATTGGGAAAATTTAGTGTATGGTTTGTTCATATTAATGTTCAGATGACTGAATTAGGACTTTTTTCTGCATGTGTATATATGCCAAATTATTGGAACAACAGAAGAGACAGCTACTATTTTTGTACTTTTAAAAACTAATTTTCTATATATAATTTATTATTGTTTTTTGTGCAGATCATTTTTTTAAAACTCATATAGGTAGTTATGTTTGCACTTATGAACTAAAGAAAGCCAGTGTGTAGCACTCAAATGTCTGCAATGAGTTCTCTCAACACCACAGACTTAGAAAACACATTCTCTTGCTGGTATAATTCAGACCTTCAAATATGAGAACAAGCCATCTCTCCTTCACAACAAGGGATCAGATCTTTACAACAGGTTTGTTTGTTCAGTTGGTTGGTTGATTGTTTTTATGTCTGTTTTGTTTTTTTTTCCCCCTCTAGACAAAGTTTTTCTATGTGGCCCTCACATCCTGGGACTCAGGGACTCACTCTGTAGACCAGGCTGCCTTTAAACTCAGAGATCCACTGGCCTCTGTCTCCTGTGCACAGGGATTAAAGGTGTGTACTGCCACCACCTCGGCTTTACAGCTATTTTAATGAAATTTCTTAGTTACATCCTAAGCAGGATAATTTTCATATACCTATCTGCTTCTTCAAAGTTAGTGTCTGCCAGTATTTATTTTCTATGCTTTAACTTTTCATCTGTTGACTGTTTCTCTGACACATAAATTAGAGGTTCATCATCTGAACCATCTTCAGATCCAGGTTCCTTTTGCACTGTCTGGACTCTCTCTGATACGATGCTCTTTTGAGGGGGGCTGGATATTTTTGCTTTTAACACTAGCTTTTTGTTTTGCTTTTTAAGATGTCTTTTTTGATGGATGCTCCTCTTTCCTTATCTCAACTTTCAAAAGACTCTTCTATTTTTATCTTCATCACTGCTGGATTCACTGGACAGAATTTTAGGAAACCTGGTTTACCTTGACTTCACTGTCATTACAGAACTCTTCTGTTCTTTTTTACTGTATTTGCTTGGAGATGGTTAGATGGTTGGTTGTTGTTTTTTGTTGTTTGTTTGTTTTTTGTTGTTGTTGCTGTTTTATCTTAGTGGTTTTCCAGAAGTCTTTGGGTACATTAAAAACTTTAAGAGCCTCTTTAACTAGTTCATACCCATCTCTCCAAGTCAAGAACCCCACGGCGATCTTTAGCATGACATCTCTACATGTTTCAGTGTTCCTTCCTTCCTTTTTTACTGGATACTGTCTTTTCAAGGGACAGCCACTGAACTAACTCACATTCTTCTTTAATGAGGACACTGTGCTGCTCTGTTGTGGACCCATTTGTGTGGACTTCTAAGTTTGTCTGTGGTTTTGCATGTTTGTTTGTTTTTCAAATGTCATTTTCAGCATCAACTGAAGTTATTATGTATAAACTTTCTGTCCTTAAGTTTATTTACATGCTATACTACAAGTACTGATTTACATATGTCAAACCAACCTGGTCTTTCTAGAATGAAACACACCTAATTATAATGTATAATCTTCATGTACTCCGGAATTTGGTTTGGAAGTTTGTACTAAAGAGTCAGTAAGAAACCCAGGCTGCACAGGTATAAAGGAAAAGGAGAGAGCCTTGAAAAAAGATAGTATGTGACTTGTATCCCTGATCTCTCCAAGACTTTTGTCAAAGAATTTTTGGCATCAAATGAGATAGTCATTTTGGGTTTTCTTTCAATTTGTTATATGGTGGATTATGTTGATGGATTTTCAACTCCCTGGAATGAAGCCTACTTGATCATGGTGGATGATGTTTTTGATGTGTTCTTGGATTATTTTATTGAGTATTCTTACATCAATGTTCATCAGGGAAATTGGTTGGAAATTCTCTTTCTTAATTGCGTCCTTGTGTGGCTTAAGTATTAGGGTGACTGTGGCTTCACAGAACAAGTTTGGCAGTGTTCCTTCCATTTTCATTTTGTGGGATAGTTTGAGGTGTATTGGTATTAGCTCTTTTTTGAAAGTCTGGTAGAATTCTGGGCTAAAGCCATCTGGCCCTGGGCTTTTTGTGAGTGGGAGACTTTTAATGACTGTTTCTATTTACTTAGGGGTTATAGGACTATTTAGATTGCTTGCCTGATCATGATTTAACTTTGGTAAGTGAAGTCTATCCAGAAAATAATCCATTTCACTTAGACTTTTCCAATTTTGTGGAGTATAGGCATTTCAAGTAAGACCTGACAATTCTTTGGATTCTCTCATTGTCTGTTGTTATGTTCTCCTTTTCACTTCTAATTTGTCAATTTGGATACTATCTCTCTGCTTTCATTGCTGGTAGGAGTGCAAACTTGTACAACCATTCTTGATATCAATTTGTCATCTTTTCAGAAAATTGGGAATAATTCTACCTCAAGACCCAGCTATACTATTCATGGGCATATATCCAAAAGATGTTCCACCATCCGACAAGGGCACTTGATCTACTATATTCATAACAGCTTTATTTGCAATAGCCAGAAACTGGAAGCAAACCAGATGTCCCTCAACTAAAGAATGAATAAAGAAACTGTGGTTCATTTACACAAGGGAATACTACTCAGCTATTAAAAAGAAGCCTGTCCATTTACAGGCAAAGTGGAACTAGAAAATATCATCCAAAGTGAGTTAACCTAGACTAAAAAGAACATGCATGGTATGTACTAATTTATAACTGGATATCAGCCATAAAGTATAGGATACCTACACTACAATCCACAGACTCAAAGAAGCAAAAAACAAGGGTGGGGGTAAGGGAGGATGTTTGAATTTCACTCAGAGAGGGAAATAAAATAGTCATCAGAGATGGAGAGAGGGAGGGAACTGGGTAGGAGAAGGGACGGGAAGGGAAATGGGGAAAGGTCACATGTAGGGAGAGACAGGGAGAAAGTGCCAGGAGAGTCAATGGGAATCAGCAGCTGGTGGAGGAGGAGGGACTGTTCTTGACTCTGTTGTCGCCTGTGGATCCTCTTCTCCTAACCTGGCTGCCTTGTCTGGCCTCAATGGGAGTGGATGTGCTTTGCCCTGTAGTGACTTGATATGCCAAGGTGCATGGGTACCCAGGGAGGCCCTCCACCTTCTCAGAGGAGAGGGGAAGTGAAGATATGGGGAGGGCTGTCTGATGGGGGTGGAATGGTAGGAGTTGTGATTGGAATGTAAAGTGAATAAATAAATTAATTAATGGGAAAAAAAGGAAAGCAAAAAGATAGTATCGAGTTGTGTATCCCCAAAACAGAAACATGGAAGCTATGAAATCTTCTTTTTCTACAAATATCCTTAAAACTAAATAACCAAAAATGAAAAAAAGGGGAAATAAATTATTGATCTAAGCTTGACATTTCAGGGCTGATGTTGTACTCTGATGATGTCAAGCAGAGAACCCTGCAATCCAGCCTTCAGAGGGTAACCACTGGTGACAAGTACATAATCTAACATGCAAAGAGTGACCACCGGCCATCAGTACATTCCTTCTCTTGCTCTCTCATAACAACCTCAGTCTAGAGACTGTCTGCTAAATAGTTAGCCTGATAGGAATGAACATATCTGAAGAGCTATGCACAAAAAATATAATGACAATGGCAGTCAAGTAATTTACAGTCACATGAGGACTTTTCAAGTTCAAAGAAAAGGTTAATTCATGGCCCTTAAAACACTGATATTAATAAGAAGCAAATATCACTAATGAAAAAAAAACAATGAATAAAATTTTCTTTTAAAAGCTTAAGGACAGCAAAGAACAAATAAGAATATATGAAAAATAAAACTTCAATTACATATGCTTCACTATATTTAGTCTAATTTTTGTTCTGTATAGTTACATACACCCAGTTGTCAAAATCAGAGTTTAATCATGTAGAATATTCATAAAGAAATAAAAATGCTGATGAATATTTGGCAACAGTAAGATGCAAACTTTATATAGGCCACAACTATTTTAAATTTGAAGCCCACTGTCAAGAACCTTAGTATTGTCAGGAATATTATGTCTTCAAGCTAACGAAGACCACAAACGGAAGTCGTAAACGAGAGCCTTCAACTAACATGGCCTCTAATCCTCAAATTCAACATTAAAATACATGAAAAAGAAGAAAGTAAAACCAAGCACGACCGTGATTTTGAAAGGGTGAGGAAATATTTGTTCTGTCTACATACTGCTCAGAATGGAGCTTGCCATCTAGGTGCACCTCTTACACTGTTAGCTGTATTAGCATCTGCATTTTATTAGACGGGTCTATTTCTCAGTTTCTCCCCATGCACATTTCTTATTTGACATACCATCTGTAATTGTTTTATTAAGTGTTCCTCGTGGAGGACAGTAACCATTTGTACATCTGCTCCTTTCTATTACGCTTGTTTGTGTTTCTTTCGTTTGTGTTTCCTTCGTTTGTGTTTCCTTCCTTTCTGGTTCCTTCCTTTCTGGTTCCTTCCTTACTGGTTCCTTCCTTTCTGGTTCCTTCCTTTCTGGTTCCTTCCTTACTGGTTCCTTCCTTACTGATTCCTTCCTTACTGGTTCCTTTGGTTCTGGTTCCTTTGGTTCTGGCTCCTCTGGTTCTGGTTCCTTAGGTTCTGGTTCCTTAGGTTCTGGTTCCTTCAGTTCTGGTTTCATAGTTTCTTCAAGAAAACTTTCAGGATCTTTGGACATCTAAAGAAAAACAAGGAACTCTTTTAAGAACTGTACTCTCCACATAAATTTATGAATATAAACAATCATTATATTTTATAACTAAATTCCTATAATTACTGGCAACATGGAGAACACACATCACACACTTCAAAAATAGACATCACAGCAGAAGCAGCCTCATGTTACTATCCCCGAGTCTCCGTCATGACCACTACCATTTATAGGCTGAACACATGAGCCTCTCCTGCAGGCTTAACAACTAAAACTGTCCACTTTTGTCTCCTTCAGATTAATCACTAAAACTTTCCTGAAATGAAAATATAACTAAATTGAGAAGTTAATTATGAAAATGATGTAACTGAATGGAAAATGAGAAAATCAGAGAATACATCCTCAGAAATTCAAGCTCACCTCCACTAATACATATATGCAACATATTTTGATAATTTATGGTTTATGTCAACTCTCCCAACCTTTGAATGCTAATGTCATTATAAAACTGCTGATTGGTGAGATATTTGTGGTTTGTGAGAATGCTGGGAAGCTTCTCCCAGTGTAAAGAAACAATTACAAATAACACAGAGTAGAGTTAACTTGGAGTAGTGACCTCGGTCTACCATATTGCCATGATGAATGGATGGATGGATGGATGGACAGATGGATGGATGGATGGATGGATAGAAGAGAGAGGGACAGATGGAGGGAGTGATGGATGGATGGGAGAGGGATAGATGGAGGGATGAAGAGAGGGATGGAGGGAAGGATATTTGGAGAGATAGATGGGAGAGGGACAGATGGAGGGATAGAGAGATGGATGGGGAAGAGATGGGTAGATGGATGGAGGGATGGATGTATGTGTGGGTGGGTGCTAACATTTTGAGTGTACTGTAAAAGCGAACATTATCTTTCTGCAGGAAATGTAGGAGAGGTAGACTACACAGACAACCAAGGGTTTGTAGGGTTAAAGTTGAATGACTAAGGAGATGCAGACATTACTGCACTGATTGCTAATATTCTGCAGCTCTATGGGATGAAGTTCTCAGACCTAATGGCCAGACTGTTGCTGTTCTGGGATAGAGGTGTTTTCTGGGGTCTCTGCAACTGCACAGATGCTAAAAGCACAGCAGATGGCTTTTATTAGGGTTGTAGAAAGTCATACAGTAAAATTGGAGGATCTTCGTAATTTCAGAATTTATAATAAATTGATATAGATTAGGATGAATTCATCAAAGATAAAGTAATTAAAAGTAGGGTTACACTGGGCTTCCTGGCTTAAGAGTTGTAAACTCTCTACTAAAAGAAATAACACTTTATAATTCTAATTATAAGCAATTATCTAGTAAAATTGGACTAACAAAAGGCTTAACAGCTTACTTTTTCTTCAAAATATATAACCACTGTTGACTTAAATTGTTGAAACTTTCTACCACATGGAAGGAAATAAGCCATACGTGCCTTCTTCCTAAAACCTACTCAGTGTGCAATAACTCCTTTCTATCTGTCTTATCCTTTCTGCTCACTTTCTAGAACCCACTAAAGTTTAGTAGCTATTTCAAACGTATAATTCTTTACTTTTACCAGACATCAATAGTTAACAGAAATCTATATAATAAACAAAAAAATCATTTAAACCAAACAGTGTCTTGCTTTGTAGCCTGGGATCTCAGTAGCTCAGGATCCTCTAGCCTCAGCCTCCCAACCCCTAGGATTAGCCTCCCAGGATACAAGTGTGAGTCTTTGTTGTCATGGAAAACTTGGATTACTGTTGTTAAAAATGTGTTTTTAGCTTTGGTGCGTACATGTAGGTGGGATGTATGTGTGTTTCATGCACTTGAGTATATAGGTACATGTGTCTATGCATATGCATTCAGAGGCCAGAGAAGGATGTCCCGTTTCTTCTGAGCCTCTGTGCCTTAATTGCTTGGTAGCATTTCTCAGTAATTAGGAGGCTCCTTGTTTTACAAGGCTAATTAGCTGACCAATGGGTGCCCAGGCTGTGTCTGTCTCTGCTCCCCAGTGCTGGAGTTACAAGTATATGTAGCACACTTGGTTTTCATCATGAATGCTAGTGTCAGAGCTGGGATCCTTATGCCCTCACCCAGAGAGCCATCTCCTAATAACTCAACACAGAACTGCACATCCTATATTACAATGTAATTTTAAGTTTTTACCTGAACAGTTACAGATGGTTGGAAATGATCATCCTTCTTGTCTGATTCTATGCCGTGCTCGCTAATATTTAAAAGAAAAATAATTTGAAAAAAAGTCCATATAAAAGAAAATTTGGCTAACAACACACGTCTAAAATATTTAATAAAAGTGTATCATAGTCAAGTCAGATACCTTTAACAAAAATCTACCTATTCACTTAAAGCCAGTGAGATGGTTTGGTAAGGGCATCAAGCTGCCAAGTCCAATGACCTGAGCTCACTCCCTGGGAATCACACAGGTCAAGGAAAGAACTGATTCACACACACACACACACACACACACACACACACACACACATACACACACACACACACAGAGTAATAAAACTTTTAAGTGTCTGCTTAGACTTATTAATCAAAGCTATGAACCCAAGTTTAAGTTTTTTATTACATTTATTTATTCATGTCTGTGTGAAGGTTGGAGGATCACTTGTAGAAATCAGTTCTCTTCTGTGTGGATCCCAGGGAGGAACTCAGGTCATCCTGCTTCGTGGCATATATCTCTGTCTGCTAAGCCATTTCATTGTCCCCAAGAGCCTATGTTTTAAAAGTTTTTGACGTGGAGAAATGTATTACTTTTCCCCAATTCCAGAATAAATGGGCAATATATTAAAAGCATGTGGGAGATAGTCCTTTGTTTTAGTCACTACCTAGTTAGTGTATTGACTTAATTTCCACTACTATTTATTTCATTTTCAACTTCAAGCCTCCAGGAGACGTCAAGAAAATTTAAAATGAAGCCTGGAGGAACATTCACACAGGATATGAGGAAGTTTCTTTTTCACCATGGACCAAAAGAAGACAACACTAAGCTATTAGTCAGGTGGAATACTTGGGAGAGCGTGCTGGTCTACAGTGTGGCTGAAATAGACACGGCGGCACAGAGACCCATGACAGCCAGGAGTGAACAAGGCATGTCACACTGACCAGTCAGCTTGAAACTCAGAAGTTTTCCCACAACACAACAAGAAAAAGATAACCCCACTATGCCAGGAACATCTGAAACTCTGCAGCTGGGGAATCTGACAGCTCTCCTGGATAGTGACCCTGGTGTGGGGATCTGTTGAGATGACACCATTGTATTATCCAGTGAAGCTCAATTCCTACTGTACCCTCCTCACCCCAGGCTTTTGTTGCAGAGCCATGCTGATCCTACCCACCTGTATCCAGCTGATGCCACAGTATATCGAGGGTCACATCTCCTCCCGCTTTCTGGAGCAGCCACCTCACTCTCAACCAGCCCACCAAAATTTAAGCCCTCTCCCTGCTGCAGCCCAAATGCACCATACCTGCCTGTCTACTGGGGTAGACTTGCCCCACGTAGGCAAGAACATCTGATGTATACTGGTATACTGTCCTGCTTTTCCAGCTAGCCATATCTTTCTTGCCTGGGCCCAGCACATCAAGCCCTGCAGTTACACATCCTAGGGAAACTGCTGGGAACTCTGCTCTTGGGGCTGCATAAGCCACACAGAGTCATTAGTAAATGTCCTGCCATGAGATCTCAAAGGATCCAAACAGATTTGACCCATAAAGGTTCTTTTCAGGGCAATCCAAAGTGAAAGACAAAGGACAAAGAAACAATTCTAAAAACAGACATTTACAATCAGTAACATACACATAAGGGAATCCCAACTCAATGAAAAACAGATTTATCAGTAGAAATTTTACAGGCCAAGAGAATATGATAGCATGGTCATGTCCCTAAAAGAAAAAAGGTCAAGCTGGATATGATACACATCTGCTGTTCCAGTACTTGGATGACTGAGACAGGAGAGTCACAAGTTTCAGGAGATCTTGGGCTACATAGCAAGACCCTGTCTCAAAAACAAGCAGACACTGCCAACTAAGAATATTATAATCAGTCACTGCCCCAGAAGTCAGGTATTTCTCAGACAACTAAAAACTCAGGAAATTCACTACCACAAGACTGGTGTTACTTATACTCTCCACCTCCCAAATGCTTAAGGGACCCTATATATAGAAATAAAAGGTATATACCATCATTAAAATACATAAAAGTAGAAAATGCATTAGTAAAGCAAATACACAAAAGAGAAAGTTACCAAATCTTATCAATTCAGAATACAACCAAACAACAAAGATAACATGAGAATAAAGGATATATATAAAAAAATCAAAGATTGATAAAAGTACATCTTTATTGATGATAATTAAATAGCTTAAATTTCTAGGTTAAAAGTTTTATACTGACTAAATACACACAGAGAGAGAGAGAGAGAGAGAGAGAGAGAGAGAGGGGCAGAGAGAGGCAGAGAGAGAGGCAGAGAGAGGCAGAGAGAGAGAGAGAGAGAGAGAGAGAGAGAGAGAGAGACAAAGAGACAAAGAGACAAAGAAAACCAATGGCCCAAAGACATGCTGCTCACAAGATACTCAATTCATTAGTGAAGACACCAGGCCTGGAAGTAAAGAGATGGGAGAAGATATTTTTCTCAGGTAAAAAACCAAATTACCAGATTATAGGCTTCAATACAAAAATTGCAATGAGACAGAGGTAACCATATAATGATTAAGAGCAAATTTTAAAAGGAGGATGTTACTGTAAATATACATATGCCCAAGGCTTGAATACCCAATCATATAATGCTTTCAGTAAATGCTGGGTACTCTACTCTCACTTACATAAAGATAAACCTCAATTAGAAACTTAAAAATTGGCCAGATGTGGTAGCCTTTAATCCTAGCAAGCACTCAGGCAGAGGCAGAGAGGCAGAGAGAGAGAGAGAGAGAGAGAGAGAGAGAGAGAGGGGGGGGGGGGAGGCAGAGAGAGAGAGAGAGAGGCAGAGAGAGAGAGGCAGAGAGAGAGAGGCAGAGAGAGAGAGGCAGAGAGACAGGCAGAGAGAGGCAGAGAGAGAGGCAGAGAGAGGCAGAGAGAGGCAGAGAGAGGCAGAGAGAGGCAGAGGCAGAGGCAGAGGCAGAGGCAGAGGCAGAGGCAGAGGCAGAGGCAGAGGAGGCAGAGGCAGAGGCAGAGGCAGGTAGATCTCTGTGAGTTTGGGGCCAGTCTGGTCTACAAAGTGAGTTCCCAGGACATACAAAGCTATAATACAGAGAAACCATGTTCTGAAAAACAATCAAAAATTTAAAAGAAAGAAACTTCAAAATTAAACAAATATGAAATTTATAGACTATTTCATCCAATTTATGAAAAATACACACTATTTTCATAAGCATATGTGATATTCTTGAGGATATGTTAGGCCATAAAACGAACTTCAACAAGTTCAAAAGGTAGAAACCACAACATATACTGTCTATAAACACAATGACCTAAATCTAGAAAGCAATAAGAAGACTGTTGAGGTTTGGTCTTTTGCTATGTACTATAATGTTAAGGCCACCCCCAAAGACCTAGCTATCCCCGAGACGAAAGAGTCTGCATGAAGACCCAAGTGATGACATGTGACCTTGCCCCCAAGTTATTTCTGATTGGTAAATAAAGATGGAGGAGGTAGTCGGAGGAGACCTCAAGGAGAAAGAGAAGAGAGGAGACTCCATGGGTTAGGGGTCAAGAAAACATGGACCCGCGGGCTAGCCAATTGGAGTTAAGAGCAGCCCAGATAAAACATAGTAAGTAATAACTTGGGATTATCAATAGGAAAGTAGATTCTAACAGCATAGAGGATAGATAGCTGCCCAGCTCTAGTGTCTATTAAGGCTTATTTAATCTGAGTACTTTTAATAGCTGCAATTACAAACTGTTTAGAAAAATTATGTAATGCAAGTTAACAGTCATGGGCATATTAGATACTAGTCTGGATTACCACAGAAGTATACATCCTGGGTTGTACAGATAATAGGTAGCTGGAGACAAGCATTCTTTGCTTGTTCAAATATGCAATGAATAAATACATGGTCTCAAAAGAGACCTACAGAATATGGCATTTAAGGTTATTTCATTATTAAAAGATCTTATGGCTATGAGTCATATCTGCTCCTGACAGATATGCCCTAACTTTATCTGAAGACAAAATGTTGTCCAAAAAGGACAAATGGACTCAGGATAGTTGACTGCTAAGCTCTGCCAAGACAGGGTATGCTAGTCCTTCATAATTCCTACCAAGACAGAGTAAAGTAGTCCTTCATAATTCCTGGTTCTCTAAAGGTCTGTCAGATGTTCTTGGCCAGAAGGCTGAATATAGAAGCTCTAACATCATAAGGAATATTGAAGACTGTCTCAGGGGTAAGCTATCTCAGTCATTTCTATGATTTTTGCAAGCTGTGTCCCTGTGCTTCCTACATAAAATGTTTATTCCTTCCAGATCTCTGATGGAGTTAAAGACTAGCTAGTTATATTCTCACAATTAAAGTTGTTTAGGACTTAAGATATTCTTAGGATGGTAATACAAGTTAAGATAAAAAATAACTTAAATACAAAATTCTAACTCACCAAAATAGGATAGGTGATAAAATACTTTACCTAAATTGCCAAATATAATGGATTATACGTTATATATGTATAGCATACTTTATAATTTTCATAATTGTTATAACTGTATTCAATTTATATCTGAGAGAAAAGGAGCCTTTTATTGGACTAAAAAGGAGAACTGTTGAAGTTTGGTCTTTTGCTGTGTATTGTAATGCTAAGTGCAGGCCTAAAGACCTGGTTGCCCCAGAGACAAGAGAGTCCATATCTAGACCCAAGTCACCCTATGTGACCTTGCCCCAAGTTATTTCTGATTGATAAATAAAGATGCCTACAACCTATAGCTGGGCAGAATTGAGACAGACAGGGCTTGGTGTTCCCAGCAGGGGTAGGATTGGAGGAAAGAGAGAAGAGGGGAAAAGAGGAGAAGACACCATGAGTTAGGAGTCAAGAAAATATAGCCCTGAGGCCAATTGGAGTGTAGAGCAGCCCGGTTGAAACACAGTAAGTATTAACTCAGATTTATTGATATAAACGTGGATTCTAACAGCATAGAGGGTAGATATCTGCCCAGCTCTTCTACTGATTAAGGTTTATTGTAAATATAAAGGTTGTGTCTTTTATCTGGGAACTAAATGGTCAAAGGCAAAGTAGAAACCCTGGATTAGAATTAAAAATTTCTACAACAGAGGAATTTTAATTTTTTTAGATTTATTTTTTTTATTATTTTAAGTTATGCTGTATGTATGTGTATCTTCATGTGGATCTGGGCATGTGTGTGCATGTGTCTGCAGAGGCCAGAGATGTTAGATTTCAATTCACTCTAGAGCTGGAGTTGTAGGAGGTTATGAGCTCTCTGACCTAAGTGACCGAAACAAATATGTGTAATTACAGCTGTCTCATGTTTACCAGAGATACAAATACACATACTGGAGAAAAGACAGTATCTACAACAAATGGTGCTGAGAAAACTAGATGCCCACAAGCAGAAAAATGAAATTAGACCCGTGTATATAATGCTGTGCAAAAAAAAAAACCAAAAATAACTAGACTAAGAACCTAAATGTGACACTGGAAACACTGAAACCATCAGAAGAAAACATACGAAAATCCTGCAGGATATAGGTGTAGGGAAGGGCTTTCTGAACAGGACCCCATTTGCCTAGGAACTAAAGCCAACAATTGATAAAACCAAAATGTTTCTGCATAGCTAAAGAAATAATTTCATGAAAAGGAAGCCCACTGAATTGGAATCAATCTGCCAGTTATACATCTGACGGAAGATTAATATACAAATAATTTTTAAAAAATTGACCCATTCAAAAATGGGTTTGGGAACTCTGAACATAGAGTTGTCAAAAAAAAAAAAGAAAAAGAAAGTTTCATTTTCCCACATCTCCTCCAGCATTTATTGTTTCTGTTTGTTTATTTTTATCTTTGCCATTCTGACTAGGGTATAATGAAATCTAATGGCTTTGCTTTGCTTTACATTTCCCTAAATACTAGGGATAATATTTTTGAGATATTCTTAGCAACATACTCCTCAGATAGGAAGCTTTCAGGTCAGAGCCAGGTCAGGTCCTCGAGGTACCGTGTCTGAAGTACATGGAGTCTTCAGCAATAGGGACTCAATTTCCACCAAGAGCCTGTGATATTTTGGAAGTCTCTTGGACAACAGTGACCAACAACTTAAACAGAGGGCTTCTCATGCCTGCTGTTGCCGGTTTTGTTAGATATATCTCAGGGGGAAGCATACCCCCCCCACACACACACAGAGGTTCATACACTTACTTATATGAATTACGTGTAGTTTTAGGTAGATAGATGGTATGATGGCTTATAACTTTTTCCTGATTACTAGGGATACTGAACATTCTTTTGAGATCCAGGTCCTCGTGCTTACACTGAAAACGTTATACTCACTGAGCCATCTCTCCAGCTGCTACCTCTTTTGAGCCAGGGTCTCTCATTGAACCTGGGGCTCACCCACTGGTTAGACTGGCTGGCCACCTGTCTTTATCCTGGCAGTGCTAGGATTATGGACATACCCCACGATGCCTGGCATATGTAGGTGACAGGATCCAAATTCAGGTTCTTTTGTTTGTATAACATGTGATTTATAGACTAAACCATCTTCCTAGCTTCTGTATGTACCTTATAGGCATGGTAATAATGAAAATGGAGAATGAATTTCTCACATCCAATAATAAGGTTTTTTTTTTTTGTTTGGGGGTCCTTTTTTGGTACTGTTGCACAATGAGAGGTGGCCTTCCTAGGTGCTAAGTGCATATCTCCATCAACCAATCTGATCTTTTACAGGGTATGAGGTACTGTATGAAAAAGAATACATGTCACTGGGCTCTTTTTCTATTAAACATACAGACAACAAAAGGGCAATTATTTAGCATTCTTTTTGATGGTATTAAAATTCTTAACCTACCTCATCTTTCAGGAGTTCGTTTGCAGTCTTAAAATATCTTACGTTTCAGGAGGGAACTTTAAATCCTAAAAGTGACAAGCTGTTATGGCATCTCAATAGGGTAGGTAGTATTCCAAGAAGAGCGCCACCATAGAAGCACCTCAAGACTTGCGAGCGCAGTGTCTGACACACTGTGTGTGTAATTACAGTCCTTAATCCTTAAAAAAGCACTGGTGTGAAGCGCTTGTCTGCTGCGATTAAGCCAAGAGGAATCCTGGTCAGGGGTGTGGGGGAGGGAATGGGAGCCTTCTGGAAATCAGAAACCAATCCTGGAACACATCTGCAATTACAGGTGCACGTGAAGGTTCATCTCCCCGGATTCACGATTCGTATAAATAGCATCTGCCAATTTTGTTGTCTGTCGTGGTGATGGAAAGATCTCTTCTTTCCTATTTGCAAGGACTGTTGAGAGAAGGAAACAAGAGAGACTTGCGTTGAGGGGGGAAAGAAAGAAACCAGGAAGAGATGGAAAAGGGCTTCCAGTATGGTGAGAGCGCTCCCTTAAAGGGAAGGGAGGAGGCCTTCCTTGGCTAAGGACATGGAGGTGACAGCAGGAAGGTACCCAATGGCCTGGAGCAGAAGAATGGCGAAAACTGGGCGTACCTACACTTCCTTTAGCAACTCTCACCCGCCTAGGGACCCAGCAACCGTCGTCGCGCGCAGGAGGTCAGAACAACCAAGGACTTAACCTCCAGGACGGAAACTGGGTTGGGATTTACCGGAAACAGAAGGGTGGGGCCGAGGGCCATGCTCTTAATGGACTTCCTGTTCGAGAATTTTTTTTTCTTCTTTTGACCAGGGTCTCTCAAATGTTTCGTCACATGGGTTTTATTTTAATATTTCTTAATATTTTACTATTTTAAGGCCAATGTCTTTTCATTTTGTTTTGTTTTTAAAACAGGTCTCACTAGCAGCCTGTTTCAGTCTCCCAAGTGCTGGGATTATACGTGGCTTCACCCTAACCCTAACACTTGGTTTATTGGCTTCAAACCTAACTCTTGATCAGGTGGTTATAACCATCACTGTTTTCATTTATTTATCTTTCTAGTTAGTTGAATTACATAGGAATTCTTAGGCAGTGCCAATAAATCACTTCTGTCAATACTCAATACACACCTCCGTGAAGAACAGGTGTAGTGTTATTTACAAACATGAACTGATAGTTAAAAGGAAACAATTAAGAGCTTCATGTAATTGTGATTGTCTTAAACATGACAATTAAGACTTAACATGGTATACGATGTATGCTGTATGTGGGAATTTATATGTTTTTTTTTTAACTTAAAAGAAACTGTTCTCCCATAATCGTGGATGTCAAGGTGTGTATTTGCATTCAGAATGGTACTGTGAACAGAAAATGATGTAAAATGAAATGTTAATCCTGAGGAAAAACAAACGAACACTTAAATTTAGGGAAATATCTAAAATCTTTTCCTTACTTGAAACATAATGTTTATTATGTCTACTGTTCATTCTCATTGGGTTTTGGAATTACATTAGTACATTCCTAGTATGAAGGCAGATTTGCAAACAAAAATGTCAAAGTTCAAAAAATAATCTTTGAAAGGGTCATAAGATAAGCCATCAAATTCTATGGTTCTTTCTCATACAGACTCCACCAAGGGACCATTATCTCTTTCCTCTGGGAAGTAACTTGAATGCCCTAATCTTCTGGTTTGCAAACTCTCAGAAGAGACCTATAAATTAAAATTTGAAAAGAGAGTGTAATTATAAAGGCCAAGCAGGAGCCACATGAGTGACAGGTGACGCAGAGAAAAAGAAAAAAAAAAAAAACTAGTCTGAGAGAACAACGTCCTGGGATAAGTAGTTGTTCACACAGGATTATTTATAGCCTTGGCTGCCAAGTAGCCCCCTCTTCATTCTTTCTGGAATCCACACATCCTCTCTTCTCTACACACATATGATGCTGTCATCCCTCCCCCAGCGCCCATGCTCTGAAAGTGCTTCAGAGATGAGGTCAGTTCAGACCATGGGGGAGCCCCTTCTCTGTCACAGAGAGGATGTTACACAGAAATGTAACTCCTACCTAGTGAGTGGAAATCACTGTAAAAGGGTTCTTAAGCATGGACCAAAAAAAAAAAAAATTTCTTGTGACTCCCAAGAAAAAAATCTAAAGAAGAATTAAGTGGTCACAGAGCACAGCACAATCTCAATATGAGAAGAAAAGATTCAACTGTAATTTGATAACCACATTATTGGCATATCTGGATGTAAATATTTCCCTGTAACCAACGACAATAAAGCCCTGTGTTTAAAAACAAACAAACAAAAAAAAGTTTTTCCTTCACTCACCACCAAATGAATGGTTAAATTTCCCCATAAAGACCATCACACCTGAACTGGACCTGAAAGATCTTCTGTGTAATAACAGATGTTTGAAAAAATGATTCTGTATCCTTTAGATTATGAAAAAAGATATATAGCACAAATTCAAGATTTTCATTAAAAGGAATGTTATACTAAAAATTGTTATTCAAGAAGATAGGCTCAGATATTCACAAAACTAACGGAAGTGTTTATTTCTCCACAGAGGCAGTGAAATGCCTTAAATATTTTTATTATGTTCATAGAAGTCTTTTAAATCTAAATATTAAACTACTTTGTTCTAGAGAAATTTCAATAGAGGTATTAATAATCTGCTTGCGATATTGAGTATCAGGGATAGCAAGATGAGGGGAGTATCCTGGAACAGTAAGTTTTTCCAAGTTACCGAGGGTCACAGGTCAGTAAGATAATAGAAGTTGGGAGCATATTTAGATACTCCCAAGCCCTTCTTGTTCATGCATACTCTGATCCCAGAGCTGTACTCTGAATTCCTGTAGGATGGAAATGGCATGCAATTCACATTTGTATCTCCTGTCCATGTACCTGCTTAGCTCAGAGAAGACATGCAGGTGTCTGCTGAACTTTCAAATCTTTCTTTCAGAAATGGATCAGTAATCCAGCACCCATGAGAGGATCATGAAGCATCTATAACTGCTAAGGGTGGGATCATCTCAGAGGCAGTGGTTCTTTTAGGAAAAACAGAGTAGACCTGTGGGGGGAGCACCTGCTCCACGATGTCTGCTGGTGCTGGTTTCTTGCTGGGAGGTTAAAGCCTCTTGCCATTCATGTCTTAGTGCAGTAAATATCACCAGAGTCTAGAGTAAGTCAACAAAGGTGAGACAAGAAGCTGATGCCTGGCAAGTCAAAAAAGTCACAGCTCCTCCAGACATGGTGGCACAAATCTTTAATCTCAGGACCCAGGAGGCAGAGGCCAGGGATCTTTGTTAGTTATCAGCCAGTCTGATCTATATAAATTCCAGGTCAACCAGACCTATACAGTGAAACTCTACCAATACATACATACATACATACATACATACATACATACAATCACAGCTCAAGTGCTTTGAGCAGGCACAATGCTGTCCAGTGTACATATCATACATATCAGATGATTCTTGCCCTCTTGAGGGTGCTAACCCTGTCCAAAACTTTGAGAACTAAAACAAACAAAGGCAAACCCAATGGTAACTAGCAATAACACACACATATAGCACACTACGCCACTGTCAGGTGCACACACCTGGCCTCTTCGCCTCTCTCTGCTCACATATGCAGCACCATACTCCACTCTACACCAACAGGCAGAATTTGGTTTGAAAGACTTTACTGAGAATTTTTTTCATCTGTGATCATCAAGAAGAATGGTTGATAGTTCTTCTCCTTCTTCCTTTCCCTCTCTCTTCTTTCCCTCTCTCTCCTCCTCTCTATGTTGTTTCTCATTGGGTCTTTGGTATCAGGGTACACTGTCTTCATGAAAAGTTGCTTCATTCTTTCCCTTTTCTATTTTATGAAAAAGTTTAATAGCATTGGTGTTAGTTCTTCTAAAAATAGGAAAAAGGCAAGTATTCACCGTTTCCCTTTTGTTCAGTATAATGAGTGAAATCTTAGCTAGACTTACAAGAGAAGTAAATAAAGGGATATCATTCTATACACCAAAGATCCTGAAGACTCTACCAGAAAATTCTTAGATATAATAAATACTATCAGCAGAGGTAGAATGCAATATTAAAATACAAAGAACAGTAGCCTTCATATTACCAAATACACATACTGAGGAACAAGAAAGACAATCCATGTATTATTGCAAAAATGTCTTATAATAAACTTAACCAATGAAAAAAATTTATATCAAGAAACAAATCAAAGAAGTTACTAGGGAAATACTTCTCATGCTTTCGGATTGAAAGAGTTTACCTTGTCAAATGCCTATCCTACCAAAACCAATATACAGACCCAATACAGCCTCCATCAGTAGCCCAAAGCCATTCTTCACAAAGTAGAAAAAAAATTGTAAAATTCAAACATAAAAGACCTTGGGGAGCCAAAGCAACCTGATCAAAGGAACAGTGATGGAGCTATTACCATACCTGATTTCAAGTTTTACTAGACAGCCACAGGAAAACAAAACCACCATCACTACCACCACCACCACCACCACCACCACCAACAACAACAATCTAGCATGGTACTGGCACAAACAGAAATATAGAACAGAATATAACAGAAATAAACTCATGCAGTTACCGTCACCTAGTTTTTGACAAAGAAGCTAAAGATACACACCATAAGAGGCACAGCTTCTCCAACAAACTGTGCTGGGAAAACTAGATGTTCACTTATGTAAGAAAGAAGATAGATCTGTCTCTCACCATGAATAGTATTTTTGACCATGAGGTAATGAAAGAAAGTATTTAAACATACTGTCTATATAATTCTTCCCTCAAAGAAACAAAATTGGGAGTGGGGAGTTGGCTTAGAACTCTGCATATACACTCACCATAGCTCATCTAAGATGATGAGATTATTTTCTTTAGCTTATCTAAGTCTTTGTCTTTTGTTTGCACATGTTAATTAGTCAGTTGAGAGCGAATGTCCAGCAAATGCAGGTAGAAGAATA